GGGACAGCAGATGCACTTTCAAACAAGATATGTTAACACCGTGCCAAATCGTTCAAACTGAAAAACACGAGCGTCTGATGATGCATCGGATATCGAGGTTGCTTAGGTAATCAGAAATGTCCTTCCCCGCTCTACCTGAGACTCTTTTGTGTGTCTCTCCCACAGCGTCCCATTGTTTTTGAAAGCTCGCAGCTCCTTTCTTTGATGTTTGTCTACAGTGGGTGAGAGATGTGTGCGGTGGTCTGCTATCTGCACTCAGCCAGAGCCAAATGAATAAGTGGATTGACCATTTGTGCCGCAGTGAAAGGGCCCCGACTCGAGGAAAGCCTCCTATCTGGCAAACACACTGTGGTGTTAGGAGATAAGAAAAGCAGAGGCCTTTTCTAACTATAGTTTAGGGTTCAATTCATCCAAACAAATACTGAAATGACAGTATATTGATTCATCATTTTGAATCATTTATCGAACAAAAGCTTACCATTCTCTTGCTACTTTTTAAATATATTACTGTCTGTTTTTGACTGTTAGTCGGACAAAACGAGTAAAGACATCAACTTGGGCTTTGGGAAAGTGTGACAAGCATTTTTCACTCTGCTGACATTCCATAGGATCAGTAAACGGATAAAATAATAAAAATGTTTGTTATTTACAGCCCTGTCTTTAATTTCTTTTATAATTTAGCATGTACTCTCCTTTCCTTGTCATGCAGCAAAACAAATGGCATTCTTTTGTATCATTTCAGGCCACTGACATCTTTTCAAGTGAAACTGTATATATTTTTTTTCTCACCATAACTTCGGGCTCTTGTGTTTTCTCGCAAGTCTCAATGAACACAATGCGGGAAAAACATCGCCACTTCCTCGACCTCCCTTTTGCCCACTGAATGCTTCGCCACTCAACAGGCTGGCATGGGGCCTGACATAATGGGAGGAAAGTGGAGGACATCTTGGTCACTGTGTGTGTGTGTGTGTGTGTGTTTTCGGGCCCCGAACAGGGAAGACAAGGCCTGCTATTGTTTAATTTGTATCCAGGAGAGGAAATGCCTCCACTCGTTTGGCTGCATTTCACTGCTACCATCTGTTTGACAAACCGAGGTGTAAAGCGATGACATATTGTGTTGCATCAAGGAAATAACTGGGGAAGTTTACAAAGAGGTTGCGTCGCCAGTATGTAAGTGGTATGTGAGGAATGCCACGGGTAGTTCTGTACAAACAGCTTTGAGGTATCCAAGAGGTTTTTATCAAGAACAGCATCTCGGCATGTTTCCCCTCCAGTGGGGGCCACCTGTGTTCTTGGAAGGATTAGTTTGGAAAAGGAAGGAGCAGGGATTAGATGGTGTTACTGGTGTAGTCTGGGGGTTTGAGCTACCCCCCAAAAAGCTCAAAAACAGCCAGCAGTTTTTAAAAAACAAGCTGTTCAGCACACACAATGAGCAGAATTTTGGCTGGATGCGACCTTCATCAGCATGTCCCAGTTTCAGCTACCCTGCACTCATGGTCTCATCTCCTTCCTGTTTCTGTTAGACGTGAATGAACATGAAGCAGGCAGCGTCTAAGTGATGTTGAAAGCGTAGATCAAACACCCTCTTCTTTTGATCTCCGTGAAAGCATAAAAATCAGCTGTTAGAATAATTAGTCCATGCAAGGTCTTTTTATTTTTATGAATGTTAAATTATTTGAATTAAAGCAAATTAATCACAGGGAGGGGCGGGGGGGCGGGGACCTCATTGAAATTGCGGATAGGATTTGATGATTCTGTCCATGTCCTGAAACTGTCCTGTATCCTCTGCCTGTGCACTTAGTGGTGATTGTGTTTGGCTCCCACTAAAAGGAGACCAGACGGAGAAAAAAGAAAGAAAACGGAGGGGAAAATGCAGGGCCCAGGGAGTGGAAAAGAGGGGGTCCTTTACATTCTTTCCATACAGTCAATCTCAAATATTTGAGACTGAAGCCACAATTGATGGTTTTGCATATTTCTCCCTGTGAGGCTGCTTTTGAGCGGCACTGTTGTATTCACGGTGATGTCACTGGAAGGGAAAAAAGACACCTGCAACACTGCCACCTAGTGGTGACCTTCTGGTTGGATTTATTGGACACTGTGTCTAAGAAGGAAATGTCTTCCTTCCAGTCAACACAGTGTTTTAATGACACTTTCTGCTTCGTCATATTTGGTTTAATCTCATTTGTGACTATCAGAAATATTATATTATATTTGGAAAACTTCACTAGGGAGTGACAGAATATACGCAGGAAGAGAGAAAAGGGGGTGAGGACCTTTGTGGCTAGAGTTACATTAGTGGTGGTGTTGCATTGACATGGTTTGCTTTGGTAGAAAATCCTTTCTATGGATGAGACCTGATTCTTTCTTTCTCTCTTCTTCACTCCATGGAGACACTAGTAATCACATTTTATGCTTGTAGACTTTATTTGTGTATTCTTTGGGTTATTAAAGTTAAACATTAAGTTTTAGGGTTTAAAAGTCCTTAAGTGAGATTTACTGCAGCCAGCACTGTATTCAGAATACGTTTACAGTGTTCAGAGTTAACACTGGAACTGCAATAGTTTAAGATCCATCTGAGGAAGGAATACCCTCACTGGTTACTTTTTAGCATCCAGAAACTCACATTTGATCAGTCTGAACTATGGAGTCTTTGGCACTTTTGTTTGACTTGATCAGTGAATTTCTGCCCTACCCCTGCACAGTCATATACTACAAATGCATACTACGTATTATAGACCTGATTAGCATTCGCAGTTTGGCAGATGTTTGTATTATTAGTTGTCTTTGTGCTGTGGCACTTCCTCTTGCTCAATATCCAAAATGTACCCTGTACATTACTTCCAGGCTGTAGTTCCTCAGTTGCTCAGTAGGTGGCAGTATGTGTCTGAACATTGCCTCTGTGGAACCATTGCTGTTGTTCCACTGACCACAGACACTTTGAACAGAAGGATTTGGTTAGTGAGGATATCATTGTGTGATGTAACAGGGCCAGGCACCCCCGAGGACCATAGAGTGTCTCTCCGGGGCCACTCCGTAAAGCACCAACCCACATTTAAGAGAGACTGCCACCAACACCTAGTCATGGAGTTTCATAACACTTTGGATGTGAATTCATAGTTTGTACTAATGTGTCACATATTTGTTGACTATGAGATCTACATGGACATTTCTAACAGGTGGTGAGAACAGATTGTGTCGTGGAAGTGTGGTGTTTTTTCACTTTGTTGTTTGTAATGAGAACTTCTGAATTTACCTTTGAATTCCACTTTAATACAGAGGAAATAGAGTGTTTTCTTTGTGTGTTGCTCATTTGCGAGCTGTTCCTCTGAACGTTGTTTACTATGCTAATCTTGAGGTCACTGAGTTCCATGCATCCTATATAGGGCCTGATTTGTCTAAGGACATGACTCATAATCACTTGTGTCAGACTTGGACTCACCCACTTTTAAGTGACAGTTATTATATCGTGGTGGCTGTTTGTTGTGGTGTGTGGAGGCGGCAGTAGCTCAGTCTGTAGGGAACCGGAGGGTCGCCGGTTCAAGTCCTGTGCTGCCGAGGTGCTCTTGAGCACGCCACCTAACCCTTGTTAGTGTTTAACTTTTTATGAAACAGTCTCAATTTAATACCGATGCCTCTACGTGATGTACATAATCAAACGAGACCATCGGCAAGAAGATTGGCTATTCCTGTATGGTTAATCTTAATGCCTACCACAGAGACAGTGGAAACACTACCGCTGTTGTCCACAGGGGCCGCCAGAATCAACACTAAATGAAAGTTCCTTGTTGCTGCTTTAGAATGGCTTATATTAACCAAAGAGAGGCTACCAACACTGGTGTGATTCTAGCACTTTCTCTTCTGCACACAGCGGGACACCAAAACCGGCACAGAGTGTTATTTAGCTTTTGTGGTCAACATTTCATAAAATCTTCAATAAGCTTATGATTGCATCTCTCAGAAATCTAGCCTAGAGACAGGGGTGGCCGTTGTGTGTGGGTTCACATGTGTATACTTGTGAGTGTGTGTGTGTCTGGCGGGGGTTTTAACAGAGTCTCTGTTGTGCCCCCGCTCCGCTGTCACCACATCTACCTCCAGTTGCCGCCGACAAAGGCATCCCAGTAGCTGCAACCAGCACGGCAACACACACACACACGGAGTCAGTGCCCCAGTGTGTGCCATGAGACAGTGGAGTAGCTGTGCTGGCTGCCAGCTCTCAGAGAGGGCCACTTTGTTTCACCTCTGACTTGGATTCACGCCAAACAATCCGAGAGTCGCTCACTGGGTCACTTGATGAAGTCATTGAATGGGGAGTTTATAGTTGTGCAGTGTACTTCCTTTATTGCTTTCTATTCCAATGCTTACTCGCACTAATCAATGTCACTGTCCTTGTAAAACGTCTTCTGTTGAATGAGTGGCTGTTTTGTCCACTGCAGAATGAATGTTCAGTGTGACTATATAATCATTACTTGATGTTTGGGTGTGTTTTTGTTGACACCTTTCGCTCATTGGGATTGTGTAGAGTGTTGAAACAGTTAGGCAATTAAGCAGATAGTTGATTGACTGAAAATGGATCGACAATTCTGATAATAGATTCATCTTCAAATCGTGTTTTAAGGAAAAACAACCTGACGTTCATTGGTTTCAGCCTCATCAAGTTGAGTATTTGCTGCTACAGTGGGTTTATCAGAGGCTCTTCACTGAAAACAGCTGCCTGCGGCGGCTGGAAAGATTTTGATGAGTGTGAGTGTGTTTGATGAGTGGTTACAGTGAATCAAAACAGTTCCACTAACAGTTGTGGGCCGTAAAACCAAAACGAGCTGAAAATTGCTTTAAAGCTCCGGAGAATTGAGGGAAACTTGAAATTCTGTGATCATTTTCTGTGTCGTTTTTCACGCCGTCATTTCATACATTGTTCATATACCAAAATGCTAGATTGTAGCAGCTTTGAAGCCCTAGCTATAGGCGTTTGTATCTAACAACACTCTTCCTGTCTTCCTCAGGACCTGGAGATTGTCTACTCTTATCTCCACGGGATGGAGGCCTTGTCCAACCTGCGAGAGCACCAGCTAAGGTCAGTGTCTGCACACATGCCTGCTGCTTAATGAACAGAACTCGGAGCTTGATATTCCAATCACATGGATTTCAAATGCTAATTAAATCACAGTGACAACTCCTCAGTGTCTGATCCATAACGGTTGTATGAGGGGTGGAAAATTCACACCGAGCTGCCAGCCGAATGCTGGCGGAATTGGTCTCGTATTTTTTTTTTTTTTTAATACAGCAGCAATTCTGCCCTACAGCCACTCGCTAACTCGCCATCCACTCGTTGGCTGGAATTATTTTACTCTCTAAAAAGCAAATCTGCCTGCTACAAAGTGACTTAAATCTAGCCTTTATAATGACTGGCACACTTTAAAAAAAAATCCTGATTGGTCTAAAACACATTATTTTAAGCATGACTAATGTTTATGTCTTGTTGGGCATATTACTTTTCTAGATAACAAGGTGATAAAATCTGTGGGTTCTTAAAGGTGTGTACACATTAAAATGATATGAAATGTAACAGCACTTCTTCTGAAAGAGGGATTTCAACAATATCTTACTCCAAAATCCAAATCACTGTAGTAAGCAAATTTTTTTTATTTGCTTAAAAGTACTCGCACATTCAAAACTTCCATGCTCACATGAGTTGTTCACCGACAGGTGTGCCTTTCTTTCACACTGACCTCTGAATTCTCCAAAAGTTGTTGAAAGCAGGGTTTCTTTTCTAATTCTTTGATTTGGCATTCACAGAGAGGGTTTAGTTTCGTCAGGAATTTTTCAAAGGGCTCTATTGTTGTTTCGGGGAACTTGACGTGAAGAAATGAACACGTGCCCTCAGACCAAGTGCTGTTAAAGGGGAAGCACTCCGACTTTACCCATCACAGTCCGTTTACAGGTCTCGAGAAGTACTACTGTATACATAAAGAAAGTTGTATAACGCCTTTTGTGGCTCCAGAGGGAGCTGCTTGGAATCTGATAAAGTGACTCAAGGGATGTCACTTGAGGCAGCGTGAGTTGGATCTGAAGACTACAAGTTTCAAAATGAAAAGATTAAAAAGATGTAAGCTTAGCAGAACTCTGCAGCCCGCTCCTCATCTCTGCTCGAGGCTGGAGGCTGTAGTAGCCCGGTTTTACCACTTTTTTTAAACTGTCCATCATGAGTCAGATAGTGTTATGTGTGTGCAATGCTACACTGGTGGAGTATGAAGCGGGTATTCTCATGACAACCTCAAACTTGCCAATCTAACCCGATGAGAACACACTGCTCTGTTCTCCGTACATGACTTCGCCTCCTGCTCTCCTGTCACCACGTTAGCCTTCCAGTCTTTTCTGTCTGCCACAGACTTTTCCAAACACTGCATGTCAGAAGTCTGTTCCCAGCATGCCTTGTGTGCATACATGTGGATTATACTGGCGGCGGAACAATGTAGCAGTACATGACCCATGAGCTGGAACATTCCACTGTGTGACCCCTCAGAGGCCTCCCACCCCACAGTAACCCCTCTCCCTCCTCCCTGTTTGGATCCTGAGGAATGTCCCCGTGGTCCCACAGACCAAACCACCGCTCCTGCCAACTTTGGTTTCCCTAACTTAAAAAAAATAAAAAAACTCCCAGCCGGCCAGACATCCCACTAACTATGGGATTATGTTATAGTTCTTTTCATTTCATCTGGGAGGAATGTGTTGTTTTCCTTCTGTAGTTCTTTTTCACAGCGGCTTGTTTTTTTACAGCCGGGATTGTTTTTCGGTCGTTGTGCAATGGAGGCTGCAACACGGCGGCCGCCCCCAGCTATTTTTGAAGCCTTTCGTGTTTTAATCAGCTACTGTTTACTATAGTTGCCTGTCTGTAATGTTGACGCGCACTTGTCTTCTCTGGAGGCGTCTTGGGGAAAGCCTGATATGGAAGACTTTTTTTTCTCACACTAAAAAAAAACAACAACAGATTTGATTCCAAAATCGTATATCTGTGATTTGAGAAATATGAGCCATTATTTAGCCTTACAAAATGACTTTAAGTTCTTGGTTGAATAATGACAGCACTTTCATTCATCAATTTTTTAAATACTTCACGTTTAACAAATAATAAATCCAGACAACAGGAGCAGTGGGAGTACAAAGTGAGTCTGTGCCTATTAATTGAGGTTGTGAAATTACTACAGTGCAGTAAGGTCAATCAATTGTCTAAACCCGCGCTCTGAAAATATTCATCTGACCTGGAATAATTACACTTGTTTTGGGAGCCGAGGCATAAACAGTCTTGTGGCTCTATGCTTAATTGTTCAAATCCCAAAGCGAACTTTAAAAAATCTCTCATTGTATTGTGAGTAGTTTACCATCCTTTCATAAGTGCTGTCATCAACCGCAAATGCCAAACAATGAAGGTGACGTTGAATTTATAAAAGAAATGTTTGGCAACAGTACCATAAAATATTACAATTCAAATACAGTGAAACAAATGGGAAAAATTATACAAATGTCGAAAATAAAAACTAGGTGACAATGTATAATGCAGTGGAAGATCTAATACTTCTAGCTAGAACATAAATTAAGATCATTTTTTTGGTCAGGAAAATCAGTTGACCTTCCGCTCCAATAGACCAGAATACAATACAATAATACAGTCACTCCGACTCTCTGGGTCTGCTGTTCAAGGATCAAGAAATTATTTATGCCGACATTGCCCATGTGAAGTCACTATTCTCCTCCTCAACCTAAGGTACAACCTTCATCTGTACTTCCAAACTTTTTATATATGCACCCCATGGTCAGTAATGTATACGTGCCTGCAATGTAAATGGTGTGCTTCATTGTAGGCTCTTTTATTCACAAAATAAACCTTCAAAAAGCCTAAACTTAAAGTTTGATATGCCAATCCATTTATTTCCCAAAGTACAGCAAGGCATACCTCTCAACCACCATCTTTTACCGACCCACCAGCACATACAGTACTCCCAATTTCAATTATCAGCTACACATTCACTGCCTGTCACTAGTCACTAATCACTAGTTGTGTATTTGCCAAAAATAAATGACAATATTTGATCTTAAAAAAAAAGTCACAAACCACAAGTAGATGATATATGATTATGTTGTAGTATGAAGGGATGACATTTTGTTCTCAAAGGATTTAGGAGTTGAAGCTACACCCGTATTAAAGCGATATTCCCATTTATTTCTGTTTTATAACATTGCTCACCAACCAAAGTTGATGCTTCCTCCTATTGTTTTCTGACTGCCACTCTCCTCTCCCTCTCTTCTCTGTCCCCGCAGGATAATGTGTGAGACGGTGCGTTACGAGAGACATGAGGCCAATGAAGTGCTATACTAGTAAGTACCACAATGCCTGGAACTGCATGGGTGTGGACGCCAGCATGGCAATGGATATTGATGATATATATCTATATAAATAATATATAAATCTCCAGCTGGGACAACCAATGTGACAATATTTCAATTCTGTGCCATCAAAACACACTCTGGCCTGAGTTGTTATTCCGAGTTATTGATGAACTGAGGCACGCCGGGGCCACACAACGGAGCGACCCGGGTGACTTAAATGAAAACAAATGTCCATAAAGCACAGAAGCTGTCAGACGATGCCTTTTATGAAGGTGTGGGTGTACAGCATTGCTGAAGACAAAGAACCTAGAAAGATTTCCAGTCCAATTTCAGCTTGATTCAATAAGTCAGCGTGTACTGAATCGACAGAGAAAAACTGAAGCTATAATAGCTCCTAAAAGCATTTCCTCCAAGGGGGAGAGAGCTAGCTAGTCACTAGTGGTAATGCTTATATGCTTCCTCCTTTAGCTGGGTGTAGTGGAGGGTTAATATGATCATAAAACTGTATTGACAGCTTCTGAGTGTGTTTGGACCCATTTTGATACGCTGCCACAGCTGTGGTGAGTGGAGAGAGAGCGCACAATGTTTGACTGCCGTCACATGTCGACGCCTTCCGAACACCCATGGTGAGAATTAAGACAGTTTATTAACTCTATCAACCTCTCGAGGGGCTAGAGAAGGGCGCATTGTCCCTTCTCTGTATCCTCATCCCCTGTGTAGGTTTGTGTGTGTGTGTGTGAATGTTGGGGGATGATGAGGAAGAGTCAACACCCCATTAGAAGCCCACTCAGCAGCGTGGGAGCTGATTAAACAATAGGAATGCAGATTGTGCGGTGGTCGCATAAAAGACTCCAGTTTCAGCAAGATTCCCTCAGGTCCTCCGTACCAGTAACTATACACACACACACACACACACACACACACAACCTAGCCTATAGCTAAGAATCTCACTTTGCATTTTTAGTAGTTTTGTTCATAACAGGCATTCTTCCTTGTTGTGGTCAAATTCCTGTCCAAAATGTAAATCTGCAGAACAAGGAATAATACACAGCTGGCTGAATCTTAAAAGAAGGCACCTTTTTTCTCTCAGTTTTGGTATCTGTCCACAGTAAGCCATGTTTATCATGGGGTAAAATAGAGCTTTTCTAAAACACTCTCTAGAGTGGATGGATTTGAAAAGGAAAAAATAGAGCTTTTGGAAAACTATCATCTGCCCAGGCACAGTCATGCAGTGTGTGATTGCAAAGTCAAGAGGCCAACTTTCTGTCACCTCTGACCTACTCTATAATCACTCATTTCTAATGTCATTACAGCCGATCTCACAATTTCAGATATAGACAGCTTAGTGTGGATGTAGTCTAAAACCCCACTGAGACCTGCATCGGCTGACACTCATCCCGACTTAGGTTGTGGATGCTGGTTGACTTTGGCATGAATGTGTTCATCGACATGGTTGGAAAATAGTTTAATGATTAGGGATGCACAGATTGGGAAATTCTGGACCAATATCCATGTTAGAAACCAGTTTGACCGATAGCCAATATACCGATGATTTACTCACCCTTTTGTGCCAGGGAAACAAAGAAAGCTACAGATGAACATTGACCACTGACATTGGTGAATGTCGATAGGACGATGTCCGTCAACAAGGCCAATATCGGCTGTCGATGTTTCGGCCGATATATCAGTGCATCCTTATAAATGATATTGGCGCGTAAACATCATTTAATGTACTTCCTACTAATGTAGCATGCAAATGAGAGAGGTAGCGTGGGTTTAGGAACAGAATGAGATAAGTGGAACTGAAATGTGAATTTGATTTGGTAATTGGGAATGAGATTTTGTGTGATTCTCTGGTTTGTCAGTGAAGTCTATTGATCTGCAGCTGCAGACTGGAGTCTCTGCTAACAGTTACAACCACAGATCAACCTGTGACAGCTGTCTCACATGAATGGAACCAGCTCGGGTTGAGCATGTGTTCAGTATCGTATGTGTGCTTCCTATGTAAAAAGGGGTATAAGAATAGAGAGAGAGAAAGCGGTTGCCACACCTAACTGTGTGTACTGATAAATATACTGTAATTTAGTCTAAAACATCAAAACTCAGTAGGTTAGTGTCTTTTTGGTTCATTTAATTTGTGTCTAGGCATAGTTGTCTTTCTATAAACATTTGTTTGCATGTGTTTCTGTACAAGTGCTTGCGTGCCTGTGAAAGTCTTTTCAGGGCTCTCACTGATAAGAGCTGGGTGTTTAACACCAGCAGATCAGATAGACTTCTCCTTCTGCAAGATTCTAATCAACCTTCTCTTGTGAAAATACAGGCTTTTAACAGCCCGTCTTAATTTCCTGGTCTGTTTATAACAACAGCAATAATCTGCTGGGGAGCGAGGGCTCTAAAAGTCAGTGGGGGAATTTAATTGTGATGGTATCTTTTATTAAGTTGTAAAAAAATGTATGGCCTGTGCATTGACACATACTGTATCTCAGATGGTTGGAAAGAGTTCATTTTCTTAAAGGAAAAAGCCACCTTCAAATGTAAGATGCTTTTAGAAAAACTACGATGGCTTTTGATCAAAGGAAATTCAGTATAAATGTCAGGCTTCGGATTAAGTATCCATAAATGGCAGTGGGATTAGGACTTTCTATCTTTAATTTAACATTTGAATGTACATTTACATGGAAGATACCATAGATATTACTGCCAGTTTCACTGTCATCTTTCTTCTGGAGATTCCTCGTGTGATTTAAGTGAAGCAGCACCCAGAAGAACATTTGACATAAAACTAAATCCTGGCTACATATTTATTTTTCTACAAACACTCATAATGTTTGATAAAACCACATAGAGTCGCACAAATGACCTAGTTAATGACCCGCACATTCTCAATCTCACTCTGACTGTCCCTAACAGTTGGCAGTCCTGGAGTAATGATAGGAGGATAAGGGTAATAGTTATAAAAGTGCTCATTTTTCCTGCCTGGGCCTCTAGATTGCTAGAGTGCTAACACTACATGCACACACACGCACACACACACACACACACACACAGTCACAGTATCTCATGAAAACAGCCCATACTGTGAGAGCCTCTCAGGATTTACCATCCAGAGATTATAGTGCTAAAGCCCTCCTGAGATGGAGGCTGACCTGGCACATTTTACGGTGGCTGGTGAAGAGGGTTAGTAGCTTCTGGTTGGCCTTTGACCTCTTCCATGTCAGCTCTTTCAATGTAACCCTTGACCTTTGACTCAAACTCAGTGCTTTTAATTCTGCAGTGCAATTGTGTTTTGCTTTTGTTTTGTGAGAACTACGGGCATTCGATAGTGAAACTATTACCGTGTCAAACTGTTGCCAGGAGAGATAAACAAAAACATTTATCTTACAACCATCACTGCAACAAATAGGTGTGGCAATACATGTTGTTTGAACAAACCAGTTGCCCTTCACTTTACTCTGTGGTTATTACAATATTTGTTTTAGTAATAGAAAAGTAGCATTGGTTAAAACGAATGACAATGCTAAAGAAGCTCGCAGACTGTGATATTTTAACTGTCTGGCTGAGGTTCAGAGTGAGCGACGCTCCCGTGCAGCTGTCGGAAAGTTGCCCCCCTCATTCAGCTCCTATTCCTTGCGACACTGCTGGCCACCAGTCACAGGAGGGTAGATGAGGAAACTCAGTGGGGAATGGAAATTCAAAAACTCATCACATCCCAATGACCAGTCAGCATATATAATTATACATTCCAGTATGTGCAGTATGGGCAGTTCTGACAGGGAGACATTAGTCATTTGACAAGTATCTGCAATGGCGGCATATTCAATTTGGTAAAAATGACAGAAAAACACAGTATGTGCAGCGATGTGGTCTGGAGCATACAACCATCGTTGGAGCTTTTTATTAAGGTGCAGCAGAAAGCAGAGAGATCTCGTCACCTCCAGAGCATGTCCTAATTGATATTAAGTTTAAGACAGCTTCCAAGCACAGTATGTTGGTGTGGTAAAACAATCTGCTGGTCAGACATCTTTCATTGTATTTCAATCTTGAACATGAACCAGCCCCCTCCCACTCCCTCTCTTGATCATTTGTTAGCTTTAGATTTTTTTGGGGAAAAAACAACAACAATTTGCTTTTAGGACAATTGGATGATTGCTAAATTGGTATGAATGCATTATTTCACAATGTCACCACGCTATTGTGCCACTGGGAGTCTCTTGAGACTCCCATGATGAAAACATCACAACAATAACAACTTAAAATGGTCATATATTTAGTTGCTTCTTGATACTGGCACACTGAAAGGGCTCGTCAAACACACCTCTTTTGTGTTGAAACTGCTGTTACCCGACCATCCTGTCAGTCCTGAACCCGGTCCAGGCCCCGAGGCAAATGATCATATCCTGTTAAAAGTAGAAATGTAAACGTTTTAATTAAATTTCTGAGCATAACTAACACCTTTGTGAAAGCTAAATGCGTTGGCAGGCAAATGGGTTTTTCCAACAGGGTCACTTCTTTCTTGAATAAAACTCTTGATTTCGTCCATGTAGACCCAAGTCTCAATGCCATAATCACCCTTCCCGCGTCATTGTACCCCCTTCCAGCACCTCCGTGGCACTTGTATATCCTGATCCCCGCGGATCAAGGCTTCCTGGGGGGTTTCAGTGGATGATGTTTAGCGTTTGACGATCGCTTCCAGTACGCGTGACCCAGTTCAGTCAAGCTGTCGCGGCGCATAAGAGTCTCCTATCTCCTACTTTTTTGGTGTTGTATCTTCTCTTCCTCCTCCTCCTTCTCGTCCTCATCTTCCTCAGCCTATATGAGCCTCTCCCCTCGCTCGATGCATCTGCATGCCAGCAATTAATAATTGAGCATTTAATTCGTGTCATCTCTGAATGCAAGGAAGAACCATAAAAGGATGGCACGAGCCTGGAGGGAGGCGGGTGGAGATCAGTAGAAGGAAAAGGAGAATGGATGCTGTTGGAGGGAGCGAGGGAGATTTTGCACTGTGTCAGTAGGGTGTGCTGTCTACAGCCTCATTAGTTCTGCAAGGAAAGTGTGGAGAGGAGGAGGAGGAACGGAGGGTGAGACTTTGTTCTCAGTGATTAGAGAGAAAAAACTCGGTCAGCACAGCGATGCAGGGTGTGAATATGTGTGTCTGTGGGGGTGGGTGTACAGAAAGAGCACCCATCCTTTACCTTTCTGTAAGCAAAAACCAGTCCCACTCTAGATTTCTAGTCATTGATTTAGTTTTTCTTTCGCCGCTGGTTTCAATTAAAAAGTCTCACCCAGACCAGGTGAAAATGTTGAGCGATAATCACACAAGATGCTGCTTATTAACACCAAAGCACCTTGGAGTACAAGGTTTGGTTTCTGCTTGATGAGCAGAAGTTCTTTTTCTGTGATGAGGTGGCGTTTCAAAGTGCAGACTGGTTAACAGACAGATGGAAGCTTCACACGGAGAAACATCCATTTGAACTTCCAGTGCAGTGCATTCATAGCAAAGATAATTACAGGTTTTTGCACCTGCAGTTGAAGCTTAACAGTAATAGCTGAACTCATACAGACTGATAATAAAGTAGAAAATGTTTTATTTCTAGACTTTTACAATCATGTTATTACTGTTCCTCTAAGGTTTTAAAGATTCAGTTCCATAATTCAGTTCATAACCATATATTCAGGTGATTATAGATTAATAAAACCACAGTTATGCATATTAACCTTTCTATCAGTCATAACATGTAGTAGAATTATCACAATTTTTGCAGTAATAATGCAGGGTTGGTTCTTAAGAATCATCAGAGCAAAATGAAAGCAGTGTTTGTTCACTGACATGCCTATTTTCGTCCACCACTGCCGAAACTTCAGTTTTGATGTCAAATTCCCAGCACAGGAGAACGATGGTATCAGTGTTACGTGTCATGAGAATACTTCCTTCAGTGGATTTCTACTTCCTCTTTACTGTCAGAAGACTGTGAGGTTAATGAAGGACTGTCAACCAAGGATTTTTATTTATTTTTTAACCAGAATTAATCTCAAATGAACTAAATAAATAAAATTTCAAAAGCATACACTACTGATTTTTTTCAAGAATCCAGGTAAAGATGAGACTCAACAGTAGCGCTGTCGGCTTCTCTCTGATATTTGAACTGACCTTGCACAAAGACTGCATATGTTATGTTTGTCCTTTGATCCCTTTGGTCGGTCGCATGTGGATAAAAGCAAGCATTAACTCTCTTATCCATCTCCATAGCAGTTATTTACATTCTCCGTACATTAGCATACACGGCCCCTTTTGACAATCCTACATGTACTGAGCGTAGAAGATTCAGTGTATCTCAGCCTCATGAGATTATCTCTTTGCAATCCCTCTGGTAGCCACGAAAATCCTCACATAAACAGCAAAAGTGATGCAAAAAAGTCCTTTAAAAATTATTAGCATCCTTTATTAACACGGGTAGACTGAATTAATTTCATATTTAGTGAGCTGTTTATCTGAGGGCAGACTCTCCTCAGTAGAATCTTTGATGTCCCTTAATGAGGCATCTGGTTCGCTGGTAATGACACATAACAGGTAAAACCTGAAAGTGTCTATAATTTAAATTAAATGGCCAAAAGTGCTGCACAAGTGTGGTGGAAGTGTGTATATGTGTGTCTATCTGTGTGTGTGTGTTTGTTCACCAGTCATGTTGTAAGAACTTGACAGCCAGCTGCATCATCCAGGGGTCAGTCTGAGTTTACTTCGTCTGCAATGCCCGGTTTCCTTGTCTGTGTGTTTCAGCAGGGCCATGGATGTGGGAGGATAAGACATGATTCCTCAGTTCATTCATAGTTCTTTCTCTCTAACACTCCACTCTCTCTATCTCGTGTTTTCTCCTTTTTACTCTCTTTTATTTTAAAAACAGTGATCTATATTTGGCACAGTGAGCAGTCTCACATTGCTGATGCATTAGATGGCAGCACCATTCAGATCAGGCAAATGACAAAGAAAACACATCAATGAGTCAGGAGCCAACAATTGATCTTCTTTGTTATTAAATCCATTGATGATTTACCAGATGAATTGATCAATCGTTTGGTCCAGAAAATATCAAACAATAGTGAATATCCCAGTCCCCAAGTTGATGCCCATTTTATTTCTAGTTTTGTCTGACTGACGAACCAAAACCTAATTCCAAGAAAATAATACCTGAAGGTGATCATTTAGTAATGTTAAAATACATTTAAAAAACAGTATTGGACTTTCGTTACATTTATTTTGAAATGTTATATACTTTTAATAGAGTGGTTTTTGCTTTAAAATAGCAGAATTGTCTCATTTGTATTTGAATGTCAAATGTAATTTTGCATGTATAATTTGTGCTAACTGCCTCTCTTTCTGTCTTGCAGTCCTGATGACATTGGAAGCTGCTGGTACATCCTGTTGTCTGGCTCTGTTTTCATCAAGGAATCCATGTTTCTGCCCAGAAGCAGGTAAGATCGTCAGCCATTTTGGTTCATGCCGCCGTTTGAATGCTTAATCTTGGCACTAATATGTGAGCAGCTTCCTCACTTCAAAACCTATTTAGAACGGTCACAAAGGGAGATAAAAATCTAACCCTGGACTGTCAAGAGAGAGCCAGTTTTAATTTATACAATCTCAAAGTTTGTTGCCCCTCTTATCAACTTGTTCTTATCCAGAGGAGTAAACAGGAGCGATTCCTTTAACAGTAATTGGCTTTTTAAACATTGTTTGCAGAGTGTCCCATTAAGGTTACAAAGGACACTTCTGGGTGTTGTATGTCTCAGAAGGAACAGTTTAAACCTAATAATTGCTTTATCTGTCACAAAAATAGATTTTATTTATGTTGTCACTGAAGATAATCACTCAAAAGTGACCACTGCTGCCGACTCTGGGATTTTGCAGCAGTAGTTTCCAAAAAGTAACTCATTTACTTCTAACCATTGAACAAATTGTGATTGTGTTCACATGTCAACTAATTGGCAGGAAAGTGGTATGCATGATTTCAATTTGCACTTGCGCTGGTATAATCCAAACAAACCTGATATTCCAGTGCTTCATGTAAACAGTGTAGCAGTGTAGTTGCCAAGAGGGATGTTGGGCTGACACCTTGCATTTTATTGCAAGGCACCAGAGATATCATCAACATAACTTTCCTGCAATTCTAGAGAAACAAAGCATAGGCAGCAGTGTCTCTCTTCTGAGCGAAAGGAAGACAGCATAAAATGCACACTAATATTACAAAAAGACACATAAAAGTTTCATAAAATAAAAAAACAAGTAGTCTTCCTGTGCTTACTTTTTGTAACACCATAAACAGAATTACAAAATGCTCAAACAAAAAGACTGTAGCTCCAAAATGTAGAAATATTACCCGCTACACTTCACACTAGTTTAAAGTAACTTAGCTTCACATATATAGCTAAAACAGCCAAACTAAAGAAGCAAAGAAAATGCGTATAAGGAAAGGTCCATAATGAAAATGAAGATGAAGTAAAGCAAGGGGAACTGCAGCACGCCCAGTTGGTACAATATCTTTAACACTAAACTTCTTATTAAACCACAGAACATTTTCCTTTAAGCATATATGTTGAGAAACACATAAAACACCTCAACTGACCTCTACCCTTCAAAAGTTGTATCAGTTGTCTCAAAGGAAAAATTATTTGAAGTATATGAAGAAAGAAGAGTGGTAGAAAGCGGGGCTGTCACCAGAGCCCACCCCCATGATGGATAATAATTATCTACGACACCTTCAGCGGACTTAAGATTCATGTTCCCCTCTCCAGCTCTCAGCCATCAGCTCACAGCAGTGATCACCACCTCTTAAGCCAAGACTCAAATGTTAAAAAGCTGTGATTTCACAAGTGGATCTGTTACATGAACCATCTCTGTGGGCGTCTTGAAAACAATGATCTTTTCATCCATCAGGCTTGCATAACACACACCTACGACCACTCAGAGCTCCAGGCCGCCACTTTAGCCCATGGAGCAGAACTGTCCCAGCAGTGCTGTGGGGGTTGGCAGCGGTCATTCTCCGGATTCACATGAACGTGGGAGGCATTTAAAACGGAAGACCCGATCGGACATGTGCCATTAAGCTGCCCCCCTCTTAAATATAACCTTTTCAGTTTTGACAAGGTGAACGCGTGTGAATGGGATACTGGAGGGGGATTTGCAGGTATTGACAGATTAAAGTTAATGCCCGACTGCAGTCACAGGGGAAAAGAGGGCTCTGAAAATGTTTAGTAAGCATATGTTGCAAGGAAGCCTGTTTAGGGGTCCACTCTGCTGCATGAGAATGTATAAGGTTGGCTCACTTTGTTTCGAGTGATACCAACTGCACTGACTGTCTTGTTTCTGTCAGCTGCACTAAATTAATACATACCAGGCTTTGTGCCTTATATGCCCATTTCAAATCACAATTTAAAGGTGAAGAATCTATCTTGGGAACAGTTTTAAAGAGCAAAGCAACAGCTATAACTACACATTGTAAAACTGAAACAGAAACAACATGACCTCTGAATGTATGTGGTCATATTTATTGATCTGGCAAAGGCTTTTGACTCTGTGGACAATCGCATTTTGCTTCATAGGCTCAGAGATATTGAGAGAATGTCTGGCTTTGTTCAACAGCTACCTCTCTGATCGTGTACAAACTGTGAGAGCTTAGGATCTCATGTTGGACCCACTATCCCTGTCCATGGGTGTCCCAGGGTTCCATTCTAGGTCCAAACCTCTTTACAATATCTATAGATAATGGTGTTCAGGCTGCAGGCCATTCTCACATCCACGTATATGCTGACGACACCTTCTTGAACACACCCAGCCCCTCCCTGAACACTGCCCTGTCTTCCCTGCAACTCGGCTTCAGCAGCCCCCTTAATATCACCTCCTTGGATGGTTCAGAACTCTAGTTCGTCACCTCCTACAAATGAGTATCTGGCTCGACACTTCTCTATTTTCAAACACACACCAACACCCTGTTCTCCAAAGTCAAGGCAAAAATCAGTTTCCTCTGCCTCCGAATCTCTCTTCAGTAAACTGGACGTCATTTACCATACCACCATCCGCTCTGTCCCAGTGGTACCAGTTAATTTATAAAACTATCATATCACCCCACCATATCCCTGTTCTCTACTCAGCATTTCTAACTGTAACCACAATTTGCGTTCTAGCAAATTCATTACTCTGGACACCCTGCAAGTCACTACCTTTTTTTGCTGTCACTCTTTTTAGTCTGCCACTACCAGTGACTGAAACCAGTTGCAAAAGCTGCTAAAACGGCACATTCTTATTCCCTTATCCTCCTTCAATGACTCATGCAACACATGATTCGTTTCCGATCATTGCACCTTCTTTTAAATCTATTTCTCCGGGACACAGCACTTTGATCTCTGTTGTGTACATATGGTGCTGTTTAAACTTTGTTTAACTGTTTTACTTGTTGTATTGGATTGCCTCTTGCTGCTGCGGTTGTCATTGTAAATGAGAATTGGTTCTCAATTGACTTATCTGGTTAAATAAAGGTAAAATATATCAGTCAGTAGCCTATTTGACCTGCAATAATTCACTCAAACACAGAAGTTTGGAGACTGACAACCAATCATTTCATTTGTCATTTTTCTGGTATCGACAGTTTCTATGCAAGCAATCTCTTGCGATCATGTGAATATCAACTGTCCTCCCTCCGAAGCAAAGGCTGAGGTAATGGTATGTTATAGCGTGGGTGGTTGGCTGAACAAACTTCACATCCTGTACCAACATAGAGGTGTATGTCAACAACATACAGCTTGCAAATACAAAGGAGTGTAGTACTAACAGCAAAGTCATGTTAAAGAAGGGCTTGATGATATGACTTGATAAGTCTGCAGCATGATTAAAAAAAAACAACGCACATATTTACCAGTATAAAGATAACACTTATCAAAATCTG